GGGGGGGGGGGGGGGGGGGGGGGGGGGGGGGGGGGGGGGGGGGGGGGGGGGGGGGGGGGGGGGGGGGGGGGGGGGGGGGGGGGGGGGCTGAGGGGACCGCAGCTCTCCACCCGAAATTAACTTTCTGGATTACGTTAAGTGTGAAAAAAATTTTTTTGAATGACCTTTTTTGCCTATTTTTTGTAAAAAATAAAAAGTACAACCCCCCCGAAACTTTTTTCTGGCTACTGTATATGTATGTTCGGAAATATCACGTACCTAAATTTAGAACATATTTTTCTCGAAACTATTTTTTTGCAAATCGGTGTGCAAGATTTCTGTAAAACTATATATATTAATTTCAAACTTATCTTCAATACATGCATATCGAGAGTATAGATTTACGAGTCTCTCGAAACTTAAAAAATTTAATATTTTTTTTGTAAAAGGTTGCTTCTTTCGGCGTGAAAACATTTTGTACTGATGTTTTTTTAATTTTTTTGTGTTGTTAATTTTAAATTTTTCATAAAATCTGAGGTATGTGTCCTCGATCCAGATGTACTGAAGATATATGAAAGTTTGAAGTTCATCGAGTTCAATAGTCCTCGAGAAATCTTGCATACCGATTTCAAAGACATGATTTCGAAAAAAATTTTAACTCCCGTTTAGAATTTTAGGTACACAATTTTCGAATAATCATTATATTTTTAATATTTTTTTATATTTATATAATAAATATACCAAGTTATAAATCAATACGTTATAGAGTTTCCTCAAAATATTCCATACAATTTTAATATAATCTATTTTTTCGAACGTAAAAGGCTTCCTAAAGCTTCTTAATCGCGTCTTAACATGATTGTTATTACACGTATTTATGTATATTATTACTATGTATTACACATTTATTGACACTATATCCGATGGCTACTATTATTATTGCACTGTAATTTATAATAATTTAGTTCGATAAATATTACAAGAAAGAATATTACATTGATGAGAGACGATGATAATTTTTACGAAGATGTGATGCTTTCGAAAAATTTGCATAATACGAGCAGATACAATTTTTCATTGAAATGCAAACTGGGCAATTAATGCAGATATCAGAATATCAGATTTAGCTGATACGGAATATGTGAGAAAGTTTTAATGATGTATTACAACGCTTAATGAAAATTGTATTTGTAGATTCAATTCCTTCTCTCTTAGTATGGAATGCATATTACATATTTATTTCTCAACAATATAGGATGTTTCTTGTATTTTTAAATTTAAATTCAACCGATTCTTTTCCGAATGCTAGGAAGTAATTACTCTTATGATCTACTCTCATACTTTCTCTAGAGCGTGGTCGCTCAATTTACTCTATCATCTAAGTTTCCACTCATTCCTCGTAAATTACTTCGGGAAGATGTCATATTAACTTTTCACAATAGAAAGAAACTGTACATCGTCTAGTCTAGGCAGCATGATAAACTGCAAAACGCTGTTTCATAATGCAAAGAGAAAATGCGCGAATTAACGAACGTACAAAAATATTCATTATAGAATAAGACCAACGTGATGTTCGAGATCAAGAGCAGTGTCTAAAAAAAAAGCCGCCGATTGCCGATAAATCAAAGAAGCAAAAAGTCTTATTTCCCCTTCCTGAAGGAGGCGTGTATATTGAACAATGAAACGCAGAAATTCCACGGCGACGGTCAGGAACCGTTCACTCTCTGTAAGTCGTTGCTTAGACACAAAATGCGCACGGAGAAAGGGAAACCGATCTCGACTTGTCTCATAAAACGCGCAGAGCAAATTACACGTGTATGCCGTACCGAGGCGAGACGTGGCGCTCGAGCGAAAACAAAAACGAGTAACACGCGATACGGTTTATCCTTTTCCTCGCGGTTCGCAAGACCGTGACAGTGAACTCTCTACTTGTGGAATCTAATCTGCTCAGGGTCGGAGTGAATGTACAGAGTGTTACGTTTCAGTCCGACAACAAGGCGTCGCACCTTGGGAAAATACGCCGACTAGATGCTCACACGTATATCGAGCAGTATCGTTCGAAGCTAGTTTCACTCGTTATTCGTCACTCGTGTCGCTCGCTTGGATAATCAGTTAACCTCTTCAAGGTCAACTCCTCGATTTATGTATTAATGCCGGAAAAATAGTTTAATTTTAAAGTGACATAAACATGGTATCTGCCAATCATATGGCGAGATTTTTTTCCTTTTTGTTAAGAATTTTTGTGAATATTTCGACATTATTCAAAATAATGTTCCTTG